TTTACTTTCGCTGTTAGGAGAGGACGACAATAATGCCTCACATATGTGAACTTTAGGCCCGGGATCTCATTCTTCAGACACGGCCTTGTTGTAGAGCTCTCCTGAGATCTTCTGGATTGCTGGGGCTTTTGCTCATCATTTTTGCTTAAAGCACCAATCAATCAGTATAATTGAATTGCTCATTGAAAAAGCAGTTTATTATTGCGCTGAATAGAAGTTATGCAGCATATCAGCTGACCATATAAGGGGTGCTGAATTTAGAACAACACATGAGACTGTTTACTGCAGTTGAGAAGGAGGGCTTTGGGTATGCTAGTTAAAGAAAAAGCATTTTACTTACTTGCTTAAAGAACAATTGTTTTATTTTTTCGACTTCTAGCAGCTAAATGTAACACCTAACTTAAGGATGTGCAATTCAAATAATTTTCCATGACTTCTAAGGTTTAGTTTTCATGTAATTATCCCCAGTTTTTCTCCAAATTCTATATTATACAGTGCCTCCTTTGCAAGTCATGACAATAATATGCGCCCTCCCTCTTTTTCAGCTCATAGCATTAATAACATGGGTGATATCAGTTACTTTGTACAGGTTTATGGGATTGACAAAAATTGCTTTCTTCATTTTTGTTCATGAAAAAAGCATTGCATCAAGGTGCAAGTACTCCAATTGGTGTTCTCATGGATAAATATTGACATTAGTAAAAATTCTGAAGAATAAGTTCAGGCAGTTTCTTGGTGTGAGGGAGCTGTAAGCACTGCTATACTGTGGCCCTAAGAGGTGAGAAGCGTAGTGTTTGGTAAATCACACTATTATGTGCGTCATCCATTTCAGTGCAGTTCAAGCACCTGTGCCTTGTTTTTCACATATCCCTGTAAAACATCTGTCATTGTTCCACTACCAAGCTTTTCATATCAAGCTAGTACCAGAAACAAGGAAAAAGATGTTGACATAAACACTCCATAATCTAGTTTGTCAGTTTATAAACTCAGAATAAAATCTGCATTGCTGTCAAACTCAGATTAGAGTGTATTTTAATCTTCTGGAGGCCTGACTCCCTTCGGAGAGCTCCTTACTTTATCTGTAGACTTCTCTCTCGTTTTTGCTCCCTCCATGGTCACAGGAACAGTGTGACCAAGTGCAAGACAAATATTAGTGAAAGAAATACCTGATCTTTTCTGGTATATTTTTGTTTTGTTTTGTTTGACTTTACCACACGGTGCAGCTAACACACACTAAGCATGCTCGGGCGGAGAAACAGAGCACTCCTGTTATCCTGCAGCCAAGGTTTTACAGTTGAAGCTGAACTGTGCTTTATGCAGTAATTTCTGTCTCACTGTTGCAGGAGCACTGCAAAGTGAAAGTACATGATGAAAACTTCCCACACCGTTATGGGGTTGTGTGCTTTATGACATCCTTAGTCATTTTACTATTGTAAAAATGTTGACAATACCACTTGACTGGAGTGGACTCCAAATGTGTGACCATGGCATGTTTTTGTGACCAGGTGAATCAGGTGAGTCAGGAGTGTCATCATTGCTTTTTTATTGCTTTTGCCAGATATTATTTTGCTTATGCAGTATCTGAAGATGTATACATATATGTGTTTCAATATCTGGGAAGATATATTACCTGTCTTCTACTGAATATCCAGGCCAGAAAGCAGAAAGAAACAAGCTGGCGGATGAGCAGAAAGGTCAGGGTAATAGATTATTTTGGCTGGCACCACAGAGGGGCTGGTTAGGGCAGGGTGAAAAAGGCTTGTACACAGGAGCCACAGCTGGCTGAACCAGAGGACTGAGGCAGATTAGAGTGCTTAGCAGCTGCAAAAAACACGCCTGCCTCTGAATAAGGTTAAGGACACTCAGGTGCCAAAGGTTAAGGCAAGTTATTGATTTTTGAGGCACAGAAACTAGAATTGCTATTACTACATACATTTAAAATGTGGGATGCTAATCCACACAGCCTTGGATATTCGTTGTCATAATGGACACTAATCTGGGGTGGTAAAGCAAGTTTCAAAGACATACATATATATTTTTAACATATAGTGACAGGTGACATTAAAAATTCGTAGGCTTATGATGGTCACAGTGGGATAAAAGCTGCTGCAAACAAAAAAAATGTCACAATAGATTGCTAGATAGGACCTGGTAGAGTGATGGATCTGACAGAACTGTCCTGGATAAGTTGGAAAGTGTTTCAGACGACTTAATTGGCTAACTGGGTAGCCAGTGTTACGGACCACTACCCTGAGTGGTATTGACCACAGAATGTTACAACCACTCTACAGTGATTGGGTTTTCAGAACTTCTACAAGCATGTGAAACGACTTGCGGAGGGAGGTAAGCTTTGTATCTGCATTGCACAGTCAGCCATATGACTTCCTCTCCTTTATAAAATCAGCCACCCACGCAGTAAGTGACGTCCTCTACTTCCTGTGGTGAATTGAGGGGTCAAGAGCATGGATGGAGATGTCCAAGGTTGTGGTAGTCACATGTCCAAAAGTAAGCCACAGGCCAAATGGGAGGTGCACTTTGTTTGTTGACCAGGAGAAGGTTTAAGTTTAGCAGCTGGCAATGGGAGGGAACTCCTTGATACACTTCACATGATGTAGCCTTTTTCGCCTCTTCAAAACTAAGGCTTACACCATGCTGAGCTCAGACCTACAGGGGTGGGGGTTTGGCAAAGTGCAAGCTGTGTCAGGACTGGGAAACAGATGTGGAAAGTTTGGTTAACTTATTTAACAGAGCAGTGCAGCAAAGGGGAAGCTGGTGTCTTTTGCTTTTAATTGAACCAAAATTTTATTCAAGACAAAAAACAGCTGTATTTTTGCTCCTTTGACTGTTATTTTAAATTTATTTGATAAAGCGACACCCTTAGATTTGACTTAGCTGTTTTTTCTACGCCATTATGGTTTGTAAAACTTGATCCAAATTTTGAACCATGTCAATTCAATCATATTTCTGATGTTTCCACAGTCCAGAGTGGACTAATTTTCATGTCCTGCACACGGGGAATCAGCCTTTGCCTCAATACTTGCTTGCAGGGAGTAATTGACCATAAAGCATGTTGCTAGACTACAACGGAATCATAATGCTAACTTGGAGTAGATTCTCATGACATCAGTAGTACCATTGCATTGTGGGTTTTTGAAGACTAAGAGTCCATAGACTGTAATACTCCATTCCAAACAGAACAAAAGCAAAAAAGGGCAACCAGAGTAAATGCCTTTTGCATGTGTGACAGATATGATAACAGTTTCTTTTAACATGTTTTTACGAGTAGTAATGGAATATGCAAATTAAATAAAGATAATTGGTTACAATGTTGCATTGCTGTTGAGAAAAATTGTCCATTATTGTAGAGTATTAGGTGCCCTTTAGCCAATGGAAATAAATTACTACGAGTTCTAATTACAAGATTCTAATGCCACGAAAGAAAATTTTCTGTTTAGTTTATACACAAGTTCTAAAAGGGCTCAGATTCTGTTCTGTGTAGGAAGGGACAGTTCCTCCAGCATTGAGACTGTACTGTGAGGGCTTGGCAAGATGTTGACTTTTTAAATACCTTGATTCATTCAGTGACTCTCTGCCTGTCTGTGCTGAGGTCTACAGTGACATACTATACTACTGTGAATTAGTGAAAGGAAACTAGTGTATGACAGATGTAATCCCTGGTTTGCATACCTGCTGTCTAAAACAGTTTGCAAGATGTCTATGCGGAATATGAGAAAGTATATAATGTGATCTGAACTATGGTCCATGTCTGACGAACTGCTCTCCAAAGACAACTTTCTGCTCCTTTGGATTTAGACTACTGCAGGCTCAGAAAAACAGTATATGTCTTAAGTGCAGACCGAGTTGTGCTGTACACCTTGGTTGTGGCAATTACAGTATTACTGTTGCTGGCCTCTGCTTGTGTACTTAAAGGGCCTCTTTCTATGTGTCAGGAGTGTAGTACAAGACATGACCAGAGGAGGAGCATAAACATGTACTATCTGTTTATGTCACCCTGTCACCTTTGCCTTTCTTCCAGATGCCTTCTTTTTATTTATTCTTCTTATTTGATATTTTGGTGCATTAAAACACTTAGTGACAGGTTAAATGTGTGTGTATGTATATAATACACAGACACACACATACATATTTTATTTTATTACTTTCATTATACACACACTTAGTTTTATCAATTGCACGTCTAATAGTCAATGGCACATGTCCAAATATCCAAAGATGTAAACAAAATGTAAAAAGTTCTTGTAATTAAAAGGTATAGTTTACATTTCAATTGCATTTGGGAGTGAGAAGCACTAATCTTGACTTTCCTCTGAAAAGTGAATCCCACAAGCTCTGGCACTAGACACTGGTTTGGTCAGAAGCACCCCATATCTTAAACGGGATATGCGTGGGAGAGTTGCGTTCATGATTTCTGATCCTTTCCAAACCGACTTCCAGGAATCGCTCAACCGCCCACTCGCGCTTACCTCAGTGGCACTGTACGTATGGCCTCCCACCCTCATGCTAATTAGAAAATAATCCCCCTTTTCCCTGTCTTCTCCAGACATGGATGGGATCCTCACCCCCACTGAGTAAATATTTAGAAAGGCCTCCTGATCTCATCGGAGCAAGTTCTCACTGGTGACGTTGAAGTGAAAGTCCGCTCTTGAGTTAGTGATTTTGCAAGTGTGTCCGGATCTGTTGGTAGGGTTCAATGACCAGATGCAGGTAGCAGGCATTCTGTGTGTATTTCCTTGCTTAGTGGTTTTGGTTTAATGAGAACACTTCCTGATGTTGACACTATTTGTGTTTGTTTGCTGCTCAGCTGTGTGTTATCCATAATAATAAATGGTATGAATTTGACAAAAGTTATGTTGTCTGTTAATCAAAAGTTTATAAACAATATATTATAATTGTATTTGTATTACATTTAACCTAAAGCGCACTCACTGGATGTGACAGAGGTGGCCAGTGGCTACTTATTTCACCCATTCTGGGATTAAGGCAAGTGTGGCATAGTGATAAGGAGCAGGGCTTGTAACCCAAAGGTTGCTGGTTCGATTCCCCACTGCTGCCATGGGCAAGGGACCTACCCCAGAATTGCCTCAGTAAATATCCAGCTGTATAAATGGACAAAGTTGTAGCCTATGTAAGTTGCTCATCTGCTAAATGACAATAATGTAATGAGATGTAAAACAAACAAAAAACAAAATAAAACTTGACTATTAAATAACAACAAAAAATAATTAAGACAAAATGCTGTCACCAAAGGGTTCATACCGCAAAGAGCAAAAGACAACATCCAGGGCTTTTTCTATTCCCACTGGCACTGCTGGGTTTCTTTATAACCAGGCTTGACGAAGACAATGAGCAACACCAGGGCTGATTAGCAATCAGCCTTAGCTGTGCAGGTGCATGTAGGGTTAACCCCACCGCTGTCTCAGGTCTGCAAGCCTTCTAGGTTGAGAGAGACAAGAGAATGAATGAACAGCGGGGAAAAAAAATTTAAAAATGCAGGAGCCCCTTCTATTTCCACACCCCCCTCCCCATGCGTCTCAGTGCCCTCATACCGTCTTCATGAAAGATGACAAGGACTGCACCCTAATGTTACTGTGACCCTCTTATCTACTTTATTTTTCATTCTCAAAAATCACTAACAGCGGTAAGCCAAAGTGATTCCACAAGACTGTACAAAAGGAAAACAAGTCTTATAGAGGGAAGGGGGTATTTTGCTGATTGCTCTCAGTCCTCATTTTGATCTATGAGATCAAAGGAAAAGAAAAGCACAAATGATTCTAAAGCCAACAGCTTAAAAGTGCTCTGAATGTGCATTCCTCATGCCTCACTGAATTCATTGAATTAGCATGTCAAAAAAGCGGGGCTGCCTTTATGTGTGGTTTGCTGGCGATGGGTGTGTGTGAGGGATGTGAAGAGGATCAGTGTCAAGGCATTGCAGTAAAGGGTTAACACTGGAGACAGTCTGAGAAGGCTGGAGCCATGCTGCCTCTGAGCCCGCCCCTTTACAGAGCTGTGACCTCACAGTTAAATTGGCACTTGTTCACGCACATGCACACGCACACGCACACACACAGTGCTGGGCCTGTGTGTCTGGGTGTGCGGGAGAGAGTCTCTGCTTTTACATGACTTCAGCTGTCAGAGGGAGTCGGGGCTGGGGGGAGTTGAGCAACGAGGAGCAGAGAGGAAAGCAGTGAGCGAATGAGTGAGGGATAGAGAGGGAGGGAGGGAGAGAAAGGAGCATGTGTGAGTTTGAGAGCTGGAAAAAGAATGAAACCATGGATAACTGCAAAAGGACGGTGAAAACAGGGCACATTGGAATGGAAGACAGAAAACTTAGGTAACGTGTCTTTATTTTTCATTTTTTTCCCCTCTCGGACAAATCCAGACACTTTCCTCAAGATTTTCAAAACAGTACTATGCGCTCCTGCCGGGGTGTGCGCGAAGCATGCGGCAGATGACAGGCTCCCCATGGAAAGAAATCTTACCGACACAACTAGCCCAAAAGATGACACTCTGAAGAAAAAATGTGATTATTTGAGAAATGGGATCTGCAGGAGGAAGATTTGATTTACTTTTCAGAGAAGAGGAATGAAAGAGAAAAATAAGGAGAATCTTCTTCACAGCTTGAGTGAAACTCTCAGAAGCATTCTATTACTGGTGCCAGTACTGCTACTTTTTCCTTCGTTCTTTTTGACATAACGTTTGTCAGAGCGGCTATGGGAACCAGGTTTAACTTGAGGAAGCCAGGGTCGCGTGAAAGGAAGAAGACAGGCACACGATAGTATCCCCAGTCCTGCCGAGACGGAGGAAAGGGGGTCAAGGGAGAAGGAGAGAGTGAGACAATAAAGACAGGGGGAAATATGAGTTTGCCGACAAACTGTGCATTTTTCCCCCCTGCCGACCGGGCATTCAAAGTGAGGAATGGGAACATCTGTGGATCCCCATGTGCGGTCAACCGGCCCATCGACATCGTGCAGAAGCGCAGGCGGTAACACATTTCTCTGTATTTTCTCTATTCACATATGCACTATAATGCTTTGAATATGCAGTGTGCCCTGCTGCACACATGTTGTGCTTACTTGTCTCAGCAGTTTCCGGGGTTGGAGCAGTGATTCTGAGAGGAAATTGTGAGACACCTATTTCGCTCAGCCATGTTGTGACTTTCTGAGGATGGCATCACGGTGCCAGCGTGCTGTAGGTGGCGGGTTCTTTTCTCGTCCTGGTTGGCTTAGCTTGTGGCTGCAGGACACCACACGGCAAGAAACCGTCAGGCTGTAGCAGTGGCTGAGCTGTGCAGTGGGGTGGGTCAAGCCTTGAGTTTGGCCTAAGGTTTCACCTAATTGCAAACACATTGCTGTGCTACGCAGGTGGAAGTGGGGACTGCTCTGTTTTCGTAATGGGACATTCTGTGGAGTTCTGGTTTCGGGGCTTTTTTTCCCCCACTCTTGTCCTTTATACTTTGTCATGCAGCACACAGAACCCACAGTAGACCCCAGCAGATGGCAATGACTGAAAGGGACCATTATAGTATCTCCCACAAGGACACATGTGTACATAAGTTGCTCTGCTCCTGTTCGTGGACAGAATTAGAGAGGAAATATGAGTAATCTGACATTTTGAACGGAACTTTGCTTGCTCTTGTATTAACAGAAGAATGTGGGAAAAAATTCTGCAGGAATGGTTTAAGAGTGGATAGGGAAACACAGTTGCAGACATTGTGTGTCACAACCATAAGCACTTAAGGACTTGAGTGAACCCTCCAGTTCATAAGAATTTATTTTATGGAGTGGCTCTGGATTGCTGTGAATGCTACAAAAGATAACAAAATGCAAAAATAAACAGTAAACACCATTAGATGCCCTGTTAGATTATATATGTATAAACTGTTGCACACATGAAAAAAATAAACAGATGACCTAAAGTGATTTAAGAGATACAGGGGAAATGGAGCCCTGGAGCTTATACTGTCCCTAGGGTGTCTGTAAATGCTCTTGGAAGAGCGTCTCCTCTTTTGGCCCAACCTCTCCACCTTGTCAGTCCTCAGTTCTACAAGGGGAGGACATCCAGAGACATACTGAACACTGACTGTGGTCTTCAGTAGACTTCCATTGGACAGGTGATATGGAAAAATATCAATCTGATCAATTTAGCAGCCCCATTGGATGTGGGATTTTACCAAATTCAGACACAATGAGACACAAAGGGGTAAATTTCCAACTGAAATTTCCACTGCCTTCAACAAAAAAGACATTTTCCCATGTTTCATTTTGTATCATGCTTTCATTAACTTTCATACAGCTTACTGCTCCTAAAGTTTATTGGTATTAAAGTAACATTTAGCACATTGAATAATAAATGGAATAATAGTGAATAATTGAATGGAATTGTTTGTTGTGAGACTTTAATATTTAGTATTTCTACATAAAATATAATTTCACATTGTATGTGTCATAGTAATGTATGGACTGTGTACAAATTTTGGACAACTGTATGTATGGAGCAGTACACAGTTTATGCAATTTAAGAGATCGAGATGACATAGAAAAATATCCTTTGTTCTGTGTATCAATTAGAGAATGGGTGTACTGTCTGGGTTTTTTGTTGGTTTCTTAGTCTCAGAGCAAAAGGAAATAACAAGCGTGCCCCACATTTTTTAAGCCCTCACAGTTAGTGAAAGGGGAATTCAGAAGTATGCATAAAACTCTGATTCCAAATTGGACAAAAATCGTTTTTAGCAATGCATGACAATGTATATCATGTTTTCCATCCACTTTGGTTTTCACTTATAGTAGTACCGACAAATACACCAGATTTGCACCGTTCCTGATTTACTTGTGAACCTGATTGTCTGGCGCTTATACATCTAGAATGTATTACTGACTACAGATTTTCTTGAATGGTCATTTGAAATAACACTGTGTGAAAGCTATTATAAATTAATTATACAATGATTATGTTGCCTTGCATTTTCAGGATAATGGCAAGTATATCTGTTGTGGAGCGTGGCACATCACTGTTTCACAGAGCATGATTCAATATAAACATAGCTTTGTATATCTCAATACATCAGGCAGCAGTGTGGCATAGTGGTAAGGACCAGGGCTGAGGAACAATCAGTAAAACATTCATGACCATAAAAAGGAGAATAGATAATAATATTGTAATTATCTATTATATATCTAATATATCTATTATATAATAATATAACGTAAAAGTAAGGCGATTACAATGATTTAAGACCAGCTGTAAAACACATTACTCTTCTTCAGAGCTCTACTATCCCAGTTTAAGGATCAAATCTCTAGTTCATTATAAATGTTGTTATTACAAGTATGTTATTTCCTGTGCAATTACAACTCTCCTTCAGCTAATATCCAAACCTGTCCAGTATATTCAGCATTATTTTAAAACAACAGATGACCACAGAAGTAGTCACGTAAATATAGTCACCTTGGTTACTTGTATGTGTCCACTTAAACTCCGTGTTTATGCTCTTTGCTTTTCCTGCAGGTGAAGATCTCGTATATTTCCAATGTGACGTAGCATTGTGATTCACATTGTGTCCTGTTGATGATGAATTAAATGGTGTCAGAATCTGTGATGGGGCTTGGATGTCCGGGCAGCAGCCCACGTCACGGAGCCGCCAAATGAGCGTGATTCAGCTCAACATATTTTTTTTTCATCCGGGCAGCCTCTTGAAGTGATCCCGCTGCTTTGTCACTGCTAAAGAAATCGAAAATGAGGCTGGAAACTATGAGTAGATGCATAAATCGTGTATTTAAAAAAAAGCGCTTCCTAAAAGTGTGTTATTAATGGAAGGAAGTGGGCTGGTTGAGCGGCAGTGTTAGCGTTAGTGGTGATATGGTCTGCATGTGTTTGTCACAGGGCAGCTTTGGAATTCCTCATGAGCGCGTGTGGAGCAGCAGAGTTAAAGTGAGGCTTGGCACAGAGACCGAGTGCCACAGAGAGTGCCATCAGTCTGGGTCAAACTCAAGCGCAGTGCTACTCTCGGCCAGCGCTGCTACAACACTCATTTAAGCATACAGAACGTTTGAG